AGCGTTTCAGGGTTCCCTTGTCACCCCGCCCCGCGCTGACGGGCGCGACGCGCACCCCCCGCTCGCAGCCGCGCTCGCACAGCGCTAGCAGGGAAGCCAAGCGCTCCCCTTTCCTATCGGGAGGTCTCTGAGGGCCGTGCTGCGGCGGTACGGCTGTCTCAGCCTGCTGCGAGGGCTCAGTGCCGGCGGCCGGGTAGAACACATGTAGCTCCTCTGTCTCTCCGGCTAACTCGACAGCTGCTCGTAGCTCCAGTAATTAGACTGTCAGTGCTTGTTAGAGGAAAGGAAAACGCTCCTATGACAGATTCCACGAGGCCTCTGTTTTTTAAGATCTCGCAGAAACCACCAGAGCATTGACTGAGATCTCTTATTTCTCTGGAATCAGAAGGGAAGAAGTTCCCTATGCCATCTCGCACTCCAATCAGATCTCTCTTCCAACTCTCATGAACAGTAAATTCACTCTTAGAGGCTCAGGAAGTTACCTTCCTTCCCTGCTTACCCGTGAGGAAGACAGAGCTTCCTGGCCTTGTGAACTTCTAAAATCCCCTCCTCATATGGTTGTATTTAACCAAACAGATAACAGAAATGCAGTCTTTTCTCCATTAACTGAGCAGAGGAGTCGTTCCACACACGATCCTTCCCCATCTGAGATAACATTAATTCAGAGGATGCTCGGGAGAGGCTGTTCCCCCTTGCGAACAAAAGCACTGGAGGATCAAGCCGAGATGCTTCTACCCCCACCCATGGTTCACTCAGCAGCTGAGACTCAGAGGAGGCGATTTCTTTCCCTCCCTACCGTACATTCCCCTTTCCCCCGCAATCATACAAGGTTAACTCAACAGAGGAGTCTCAATCCAAATGGCAACTGGGATTGCATTTTAAAAAAAAAAATGAAGGAAGGGGGAGAAAAAATCAGAAAGAGGGAAAGAAAAGAGAAAAAGCAGCAGGCTGATTACGAGGTGTCAAAACTGCCAGGAGCAAGAAGGTGATAGCAATCAGGGGTGAGAAGAGTGCGCCATTCGTGCGGGGCAGCTAATTATCCGTCTCATTTGAGAAG